AGTAGCAGAATAGAGTAGAATAGAGTAGAGTAGAATAGAATAGAGTACAGAATAGAGTAGAGTAGAATAAAGTAGAGTAGAGTAGAATAGAGTAGCAGAATAGAATAGAGTAGAGTACAGAATAGAGTAGAGTAGAGTAAAGTAGAGTAGAGTAGAGTAGAGTAGCAGAATAGGGTAGAGTAGAGCATAGAATAGAATAGAGTAGTAGAATAGAGGAGAGGAGCAGAGCAGAGTAGCCAAATAGAATGGAGTAGAGTGGAATGGAATGGAATGGAATGGAATGGAATGGAATGGAATAGAATAGAATAGAATAGAATAGAATAGAATAGGACGGGACCTCGGAGGTCTTCTAGTCCAACCCTTCTCAGGCAGGAAACCCTAAACCATTTCAGACCAATGGTTATCCAGCGTCTTCTTTCACAGCTCCCGGAGGCAAAACCCGTTCCGCAGATTAACTGTTCTCGCCCTCAGGAAATCCCTCCTTGCTTCAAGGTTGCTTCTCTCCTTGATGACCATTTGGATGCTCTCCGGCGTGTCCTTCTGCTGCTGACTCCCAAAGGAGCGGCCTGGCCACGCAGCTGGCCAATGGCTTCCTCAAGCCACCCCGTCTCAATTTAACGGGGATGGATAAAAGTTTAAAGAAGGACAGATGTGCACCAGATGGAACCGATTCCCTGGAGAGGACATTGCCCTCAGATTTTAGTGGCAACAGCCGCTTTGGAGGTGAAGCCGAAAGACCAACCGGCCTGGTGCTAGGATGGTCCGGCAAGAGAAAGCGGATGGATCGCCCAACATAAGCCATTCTCTGTGTCAGAATGTTTGCAGCATGACTACTATTGTGAGACAATCCAAGAGCACAACACAGCACACAGAGGCTTTAACGGCGGTTTATATACAAGGCAGCTATATACATACGTGTACGTGGTCGGCAAATACCTGACAAGCAAGCAACCTTCTTTTACTCTGCATGGAGAACCACAATGCAGACAGAACACAAGGAGAGAGGGAGATACGCCCTCTCATGGCCTCATATATATATGTTGTGGCCCCGATTCCTGAGCCTATGCTGTCAGAGGAAGAGGACCTGGAAGATGAGGAGGAGGAACTGGGAACACCTTCCTCCCCAGGACCTTCCTCCTTGATAATGCCTCAGGTTCCATCAGACTACCGAGAGGAACAGCCTGAGATTATTTAGGAGGAAGGCATATCGGATCAGCCCCTGACAGGGAGTCAAGAGGAAGAGTGTTGGCTCCATCCTAAGCAGCGTCGTAGGGAGGAACGTGAACAGCGGTGTGGGAGGGTCGGAGAGTGAGCTGAGTCATTGAGCCACACCCCACAGGGGATAAAAGTGGGTGTGTTTTCTCCTGAAATTTTGTACGGGACAAAGTTTAACCTTACTTCAGATTTTCTTTCGCGAATGACTATTTTTGTGGACTGCCTTGTGATTTTCTGTGAGTAAAACTTTATCAGTTCGGACTTGGCAGGCAGGAAATGTGGGAATGCCAAGAATATTATGGTCAGCTATTAAAACTCAATACCTTGATACACTCAATTGTTCTTTGTATGTTTTAGCCTCCAGTCCCCTAATCTGCTTGGCTGCTCTTCTTTGCACCCGTTCTAGACTCTCAACATCTTACTTGTATTGTGGTGATGAAAACTGGGAGCAAGTGTGGCCGGTGCAGTGTAAAGCAGCATGCGCACTTCTTGTGGTCTTTGATACTGGAGGAAGCCTCCCCATTCCCCCAGAGAATGAAATATTTTGGGAGATATTAAAAGAGGTGGAATATTATATTTCCTCATACAAAGAAATGGAGAAAAATCTTAACAAAGACTGAAAGCAGTCCCAACATCCTCCAGCAGACACTTGAAGTCTTTAAAGATGGATATTTTTGTGCCAGTTTACAAATCCAGGCCAGCCTGTTCACAAACAAAACACCTTCCGCTCCAGTTGACACAACACACCACATCCAAATTCTAAGAACCTTGACATGACTTTTAGGACATAATGGAATTAAACCTCCATCATTAGAATAGCAAAAGGCGCAAGGCTCACTACTTTGCGCAACACCCCTGGAGCATCTCAAAATCCTCGTCCTCATCAAACCAATTGGTCAGCTGTCCCAGAACTACATGCCGTTATTGGTTCTGCCCATCCATAAAAGGAATCCTTCTTTCCAACCTACCTCCATTTTATTTCCAGTGCCTTTCTCCCAGATTGGAATCAGATCAGATTTTTCTTCTTACGATATTATTTCTCTGTTCATACAGCCTGGGACTGTGGATCTCTTTGCAGATGCTGGTGCTACGTTCGAAGGATCAACGAGACATGGAGGGGGGACACCATTTTTTCCATCCCTACCTGGAGAGGCCTGCTATCCCCTAAGGGCTTACAATTCAAGAACTCAGATTTTCTAAGCATCCCTCAAGCACCTGGCAGACTGGGAGAGGGGACAAACCTTTTGCATGCATTTAAAATCTCAAAACAGGGCAAGGAAATAGGATGTCCATGCGCCCTTTAAGTTCCGACTTCAGATTTTGAGCGCCTGGCATGTTCTCGTTTTACAAACGTTCTTTACAAATTGCGGACTGCTCCGGTCGTTGTTTCTTTATTATTGTTTTAAGGAAGCCTTGTTTAAATGAAAAGAAGGACCAGGGGTGACATGATAGCAGTGTTCCAGTATCTCAGGGGCTGTCACCAAGAAGAGGAAGTCAAGCTATTCTCCAATGCACCAGAAGGCAGGGCTAGAAGCAACGGGAGGAAATTAATCAAGGAGAAGCAACCTAGAACTAAGGAGGAATTTCCTGACAGTTAGAACAATTAACCATTGGCTCATATTACCATATGTGGTGGACTTGTGTGGACACTAGAAAATATTGGACTAAAATCCACATGTGGTTGGAAAAAATGACAAAAAAAACATATAGATTTGAAACCAGAAATATTTTTATTGGGAATTCTACCTGACACATACAGTAAAGATTTAAAATATTTGATTGTAAATGTATTAACAGCGGCTAGGATTGTATTTGCTAAAAATTGGAAAAATGAGAAAATACCATCGCAGGAGGAAACCATTAAGAAAATATTGGAATGTGCTGAAATGAGTAGATTGACATTTGAAATTAGAGAACAAGAGGATAAACAATTTTACAAAATTTGGGACCTTTTCTATCAATGGTTAGACAATAAAATATAATATTAAAATATGTAGACTTTTAGAAAACAACAAATATATAAAGATGTATTTCTTTTCTTTTTTTATTATTATTATATCTATAAAATGTTTCTAGATAGATTTGGGAGGATTATATGAATTGTTATAAAATAAGCTAAGTAAATTATAGTTATCTCGCAAAGTATGAATGAACAAAATTATAGTCAAATAATTGATTAATAATAGTACTAGGGTATTCAATTTTTGATTGATAATATGAGTTATTATGCAATGTATCTGTAATTGAGACTATGAAATGGATGCACAAAAAATTTGTAAACCAACTGACACACTGCTTGTGCATTTATGGAAGAAAGATGGATATTTTTATGTTTTGTTTGTTTTTGTTTGTCTTTAAAAACCAATAAAATCATTTTTTTTTAAAAAAGAAGAACAATTAACCAGTGGAACGACCTGCCACCAGAAGTTGTGGATGCTCCAACACTGGAAGTTTTAAAGAAGAGATTGGACAACCTTTTGTCTGAAATTGTCTAGGGCAGTGGTGGCGAATCTTTTGGGGCTCCTGTGACAAAAATTGTGTGCGCTCTCACATGCCAGCACCCAGAAGGCAATGTTCATGCCCCCCACTCCCCCTACATATGCGTGCATATTCCCCCCCCCCACACACACACACACATCACCTTACCTGCACTGTGCCTCCCAGCTGATTTTTGTCCCATTTGAGGCCTTTTTTGGCCTACCAGAGGCTTCTGCAGCCTTTGCAGGCCCGTTTCGTCACTTACAGGAAGTGACGGAATGGGCCTGTTTTTCAGCCTGCAAAGACTTGCAGAAGCTGTCCTCAAGCCTCTGGGAGGTTGTAAAAGGCCTCAAACAGGCTGAAGATCAGCCGGGAGGCGCACACATGTGCAAGTGAGGTAAGTTTGTCTGTGTCTCGTGTGCCGGCACAAATGGCTTTGCGTGCCACCTGCGGCACGCATGCCATAAGTTTGCCACCCCGGGTCTAGGGTTTCCTGCCTGAGCGGGAGGTTGGACTAGACGCCCTCCAAAGACCCTTCCGACTCTTTTTATTCTGTTAAATGTGGCCTGGTTATATTTGGAGAGATCTCCAAACATTGAGAAAGGAAGAGGCAATGCAAAGGTATTTCTAAATCTCATTGAATTTCATTTCCGCCCCCTCTCCCTCCATCTTTCTCTGCAGGGATAATTTATATCGGATCAGCTTGGAATCTGCTACGGCCGGAGAGATGCGATACCATCGGGTGAGTGCTGAAGCTTTCCCTCCTGCTGGTAAATTGGAGATTAGAAAAAGGGACAAGTGGAAAGGATATTATTATTGCATTTTGGTCTGTTGTTAAGGCTGACTCCTAGTTAATCACTAGGAGACAGTGAGTTCTAGTCCCGCCTTAGGCATGAAAGCCAGCTGGGTGACTTTGGGCCAATCGCCAGGAGACTGTGAATTCTAGTTCCATTTTAGGCATGAAAGATTGCTGGGTGACTTTGGGCCAATCACTAGGAGACTGTGAGTTCTAGTCCTGCCTGAGACATGAAAGCCAGCTGGGTGACTTTGGGCCAATCACCAGGAGACGGTAAGTTCTAGTCCCGCCTTAGGCATGAAAGCTGTCTGAGTGACTTTGGGCCAATCACCAGG